AAAGAGGAAGAAAAATCATGGTGCCTAAACAACGTATAGTTCTTGATAGACATTGACAGTTTTTGCAATGTGAGCCTCGTCTTCTGAATGCATAGCTTTGTTGTGAATCACAGTGAAGATCTGAATTGGACTGTAAGTTTGACATTTATAAGAAAAGTGGAGGATGTTCTTGATAGACATTGACAGTTGTCAATTAAAATCTCTCTCCGTTCCTTGTAAACATTATATCGTTTATTGGTGAAAGTCTTTTTGTAACTGAATAGAACAAAAAATCAAGAGAGAACGTTAGAAAAACTTGGTTCAATAGAAGATGTATTTGATGCTATGAAACGAAAAGGTCTTGGGAAGACATTGGATGTACAAATAACCAGCTGTTGAGTTGAGATGTACAAATAATTCAGCCACGGCTTTCTGACTGTTGCTTCTGTCTGCGTGAGAGAGAAAGCGTGAGGTTCCAAGCTGCGGTGATGAGCACTTTCCAGCCATGGAGGCAGCTGCTGCAGTTATTACTGCCTGTGGGGGCTGCAATTGAGCGATCATCCTGTTGCTCTTCTTCATTGTCTGAAAAACATACAAAAATAACATAAAATCTCAATTTAAATTAGAGGGAACTTATTTTTCAAATGAAATATGGATCATCAAATGCGTCAATAATTTATTAGGGGTCTTTTTATTTTTATTCTCATAATTTAGTTTGTTTTGGAAATAATTGGAGTAAAATCATCAAATGCGTCAATAAACAACACACCTCTTGTATCTTCATCATTGAACAAGTATTCTCCTGCGTGACTCATCCTTGAACATGGATCAACAGGATAAATGGTGGTACTCATCATATTATGACTCTCTTGTTCCACCTGCACAAACTGGATCCCCAACTCCTTCACCTGAAAGCAATGTGCCATACGTACTGAAACCACCACTTGATCGCCACCTTCTAAGTGCTCATCCTTAAACTTCCAGTGGCTTAACCATATCATGTCTTCTCCTTCACCTGGAATACCAAAGTGTCCAGGTACAGAGTACCACTTCAGACCCTTGCTCTTATTTCTGACTGCCCAGCAACACCTGGAAAACCAGTCCTATGATCGTAAGGAAAATCAGAGCCAGAACTCGCATAGATAGCACAGACGATCAAGCCTTTAATTCTGTGATTATCAAGCAAAGGCACAGTAAAAGATATTGAGGACCCTCTACTTTTATGGCTGAATTGGCCTGGAACCTCATTCCCACCAAAAAATGTGCTGAATATACCACGTTGGTACAGTCCCTATATATATGCAATGGAAATGACAATATTAATCAACTGTTTCAGGTGATCCAGAGAGAGAGAGAGAGAGAGAGAGAGAGAGAGAGAGAGAGAGAGAGAGGTGCACCTGGACAGGACTTCGATCACCCTTTATTGAATTACTGTATTTTTTGTGCATCCGAATGGGTGCCATGGATTCCAAGTTGCACAAGCCCAAAAGGTTGATCATATCTACATCAACTCTTCCAATGGGTTCTAGCTTGAACCTGTCCTCCCACTCAACTAGATTGCGGTTGTCACCCACATGGGTACAATGCCCTTTGCCTTGAAAGTACTGATATGTAATTTTTTCCAATGATATGCAATTTTGGATTAGCAACTTATGTAGTTTTGGTAAACCCACAAGCGATTTGAGCCTTGTACACTTGTTAAAAGAGAGTTCATCGAGCCTTGTTAAACCTTGGATGCAATTTGGCAGGCTACAAATTGGATTATTCCCTACGTTTAGCCTTCGCAATGAAGATAGATTACTAAAATCCCTGGGAAAGTTATCATCCGAAAGATTGCACCCCCGAACACTTAAATTTACTAGAGAGCATGGTAAAGAACTCCAGATACATGAACTTCTTCCTCGCCATAATTGAGTTATCTGGATTTCATCTATCTCAAGCACTTTCAGAGATTCCATGTTCCTTAACATCTCAATTGATAACTCATTAAGATTTGTGCAACCAGATATAATAAGTGTTTCAAGTGATTTTAGCATAAACACTTTCTCTGGAAGCATCCTAAGATTTTTGCAATCCTTCATACTCAAGTAAACAAGACTCTCAAGATTCCCAATGGATCCATTGACATCAACCAGGCCTTCACAACCTACAAGAATCAATTTCTCTAGATTTGGGCAAAATGAGAAGTCGGTGGTTTCTGTAAGTGAATGAGAATGGCTGAGATCAAGGATCTTCAACGAGGGAAGACACTGGGGAAAAAAAATGTACAGAAGAAAACAACGTGGGGAGTTAATTGTTATAGATATATTTTGTTATCAAACTAAAAGCCTAATGAAAATGGAATTAAAATGAAAAGCGTAGAATAACATACTTTTGTTCCTTCAAAGACTTGTCTTAAGCCGCTATATTGCATTTCAAGAACAATCAGGCTCCCCAAAGGAAAATCGATTGGCATAGAATCCAAACGAAATTTAAGCCAACACAACCATCTTAATTTTGTACAAAATTCTGCATAACATCCATCGAGTTGTAAATGACTAAGATGCAGTAGTTTTAGTTCATGCATCCTTGCAAATGCATTGGTTTCCAAGACTATATCGTTTGAGTTTATGCGACTGTTTGTAGGGAGCATATGCATGTTGAGGACAAGACCTTCAATTGCTTTTGTACCCTGCAAAAAAAAAAGGAGAAAAACATTTGGAAAATATTTACAAGAAAAAGCATCCATATGTGTTCATATAAGACATGTTCCTTACATTCTTTTCTGCCAGGATTTTGAAGGAATCCTTATGACGCCAACTCTACTACGTTTCGAAGGCTCCTCTGATTCTAGACGAACAATTTCTCTTCCCATTCCACGAATCAGGTCATGCATCCGCACCTTGTCATATTTATCAATTGTCACCAAACATCTATCGATGAGACCACAATTGTATAGAAATCACATCCATCTAGTATTTTAACAATGCAGTCTTTGTCCTTTCCGATAAAGAAACAGGCAATGTGGAGGAATAATTTTCGGTCATGGCCCAATCACAGAATTAGAAGCCCCTTTGTTGTAAACAGAAACTGAATGGGCTTGGGTCCAATGAACGACTCTAGCATACTTGTTCCAGTTATTAATCTAAATATATTGCTAGTATATTATTTGATGATTCTGATCTGGTTATCCGCAGAAACAGAGCCTTTTATTACCTGAAAAAGTTGCCTTCTAAGAAGAGAAAACAGAGTCTGCTGTTGAGATGTACATACAATTCATCCAGGGCTTGTGGACGGTTGCTTCTTTCTGCGTGAGGGAGAAGACCGAGTGATGAGAGTAAGGGTGAGAAAGAAGCAAGCTGCGGTGACGAGCACCTTCCAGCCACGGAGGCCGCCTGAGTTATTGCTGCCTGTGGTGGTTGCAACTGTGATATCATCATGTTGCTCTTCTTCTTCGTCAGGTAGACATACAAAACGAGAGAAAACCTCCTCTGGAAAACATATAAACAAGACAAGTGAAAATCCCAACAAATTAGAGAGGAATAAGGACTGACTTGTGAATAGGTGACTAACGAAACATAGATTCATTTATTATTTTGTTTTATTTTTGGAAATAGTTGGAGTAAAATTATGAAATGCGTCAATAAAACATCATATTATACCAGAGTCCTCGCTATTATATACTTCATCATAGTCCTCGCTATTAAACCATGGTTCATCATCATAAGAAGAATCTGTGGAAATACTCATCATATTATGATTCTCTTCTTGTTGCACCTGCACAAGTTGGATGCCCAACTCCTTTACCAGAAGCCCAGATTTCATAATTACAGAAACAATCACTTCATCACCACCTTCTAACTGATCATCCTGAAACTTCCAGTGGCTTAACCATATCATGTCTTCTCCTTCACCTGGAATACCGTAGTGTGATACATAATCGTGGTGGACAATAGCAGGATTATAGCCAGCATTCACATAGACAACAAAGACAATCAAGCCTCGAGTTCTGTGATTATCAAGTAATGGCACAGTAAAAGATATTGAGGACCCTCTGCTTTTATGGCTGAATTGGCCTGGAACCTCAGTCCCACAAAAAAATGTGCTGAATATACCACGTTGGTACAGTCCCTATATATATGCAGTAGAACTGACAATATTAGTCAACTCTTTCCTGTGATCATATGAGAGAGAGAGAGAGAGAGAGAGAGAGAGAGAGAGGCACACCTGGACGGGAATTGGATCCTCCTTGTGTAAATTTTTGTGTCGTATGTACATCCCAATGGGTGCCATTGATTCCAACAAGTTGCCCAATCCCAAGAGGTTGATAGTTTCTACCTCTACACTTCCTATGGGTTGTAACTTGTACATGTACTCCCACTCAACTAGGTTGTAGTTGCGACATAATATGGTACGGCCTTCCCAAGCTAAACGGGGGTATTGATACGTTATTTTCTCCAATGACATGCAATTGGTGATATCCAATTCGTTTAGTTTTGGTAACATGAGAAGCGATTTGAGACTCGTACACATGGAAAATGAGAGTTTATCGAGCCTCGCTAATCCTTTGATACAATTTGGTAGGCTACAAATTGGATTATTCCCTAGATCTAGTCTTTGCAATGAGGACAAATTACTAAAATCCATAGGAAATGCATCATCCGAAAGATTGCACCCCGAAAGACTTAATTCTACTAAAGAGCATGGTAAAGAACCCAAGATACATGAACTTCTTTCTAGCCATAATTCACTTATCGGAATTCCATCTGTCTCAAGCACTTTTAACGAGCCCATGTTCCTCAGCGTCTCAATTGGGAACTCATTAAGATTTGAGCAACCAGATATAATAAATGTTTCAAGTGATTTTAGCATACAAATGCTCTTGGGAAGCATCCTAATCTTTTTGCAATCTTTCATATTCAAGTAGATAAGTCTCTCTAGGTTTCCAATGGATCCATGGACATAAATCAGGCTCGTGCAGTCTACTAGAACCAATTTCTCTAGATTTGGGCAATATGAGAAGTCAATGGTTTCTGTAAGGGAATGAGAATGGCTGAGATCAAGGATCTTCAAGGACGGAAGATACTGTATAGGGGGAAAATGTACAGAAGAAAACAATGTGGGGAGTTAATTGTTATAAATATATAATTTGTTATCAAACTAAAAGCCTAATGAAAATGAAAAAGAAATTGAAAAGAGTAGAGAGTACCATACTTTTGTTCCCTTGAATACTTGTCTCAGACCGCTGTATTGCATTTCAAGAATAATAATGCTTCCCAAAGGAAAATCAACGGGTATAGAATCTAATGCAAATTCAAGCCAACATAACCATCTTAATCCGGTACAAAATTCTGCATAACATCCGTCGAGTTTTACATGACTAAGATGGAGTAGTTTTAATTCGTGCATCCTTGAAAATGCATTGGTTTCCAAGACCTTCTCATTTGAGTTTATAGTAGGGCACATGTGCATGTCGAGGACAAGACCTTCAATTGTTTCCGTACCCTACGAAGAAAAGGAAAAAAGATTTGGAAAGTTTTTAGAAGAGGAAAAACAAAAATGTGTACAAATAACGCATATTTCTTACATTCTTTTCCATTAAGATTTTGATAGAGTCCTTATGATGCCATACTCTACTACGCTTCCAAGGCTCTTTTGATTCCAGGTGAACAATTTCTCTTCCCATTCCACGAATCAGGTCGTGCATCTGCACCTTGTCATATTTATCAATCACCAAACATCTATCGATGAGATTTTGAATGCCAACAATTGTATAGAAATCACATGCATCTAGTATGTTAACAATGTAGTCTTTGTCCTTTCCGATAAAGAAACAAGCAATGTGGAGGAATAAATTTCGGTCATGGTCATCTTGCAAAGAGTCATAGCTTACTCTTAGTTTATTTACTATTTCACCATTTGGAATGGCTTCTAACTTCTCCAGTGCACTTTTCCATACATCTATACTTTCCCCCAACAAAGAAGAACCTAAAACTTTAAGAGCTAATGGAAGACCTCTGCAATGATCCACTATTTTTTGCGAATATTCTATGTAACCTTCAATGGGATGGTCCTGGCCAAAAGCATGCCAACTTAAGAGCTCCAATGATTCTTGGTAATGCAAAGTTTCAACTTCATGCACCTTAGTAACTTGATGAGCCTTTAACAATCTTGCACGCCTAGTTGTTATTATGATTTTACTTCCTGGACAAAATCGATCTTTCATCCGAAGTACTGCATCTAATTGGTCCATATGATCCACATCATCAAGAACAAGGAGAACCCTCTTAGAGCTGATTGCATCTTCAATCTTAGTTAATCCTTCACTAACATTGCTTATTTTCATTTTTCTCCCATTCAAAATATCAGAAAGAAGCTGCGTTTGTATTTGAACTAAGCCATTGGGTTGCTGTGAAATTTCTTTGATGTTTTCAAGGAAGCTGCTTCCTTGAAATCTTGAAAAGTTTGAATTATAAGCAAATTTTGCGATGGTTGTTTTCCCTATTCCACTCATCCCGTAGATTAGTAGTATCCCAACATCAGTTGATCCGTCTTGTAACCAAAGATTAACGGTTTTCACTCGAGAATGCATTCCAATCATGTTGGGGGCAATACTTAAGGTTGTGCGACTTAGTTTGTCTCCAATCACGTTAACTATTTTCTTGATAAACTTTGACTCGTACCTAATAAATCACAGTCAAAATGAAAGAGAGAATTCAAACATGTGTGATGTCATATAATTGTAGATTATAAACTACCATGGAAATAAGATCAGAAAGTTAAAACGTAGAAATAAGATACAACTTCAAATTATGTTGACAACCTGAAAGAAATTAAGAAATTTAAATAGTACAGAGTCTATCAAATTATGTTGTGGATGAGATCATCTGACTAGGCCCTCTATAACTAAAGTTCAACAAAAAGCACATGTTTGAATACACACTAATAACCAGATGATGCACAATCATCATATTGTCTTTGTCTATTGAAATATATTTTCTATTGCAAGTTGGCAATGAGAGAGTTCTTTAAATACAATATTCACAAGTAAAAGAAGTCACTAGAAAAATTCATAATTGACGCACCCTAAAAAATAAAACATGAAAAATTGAAAACTCCTATGTTTGGTATTTAAAAAAAAAAACAGAAGGAATGAAATTACCCATCAGCTTGATTTTGTAAGACCATCCCTGCCAGATCTGCAACCTCTGCAAGGGCGTCCTTCCATGCCTTCACCTTCTTCGGGGGTTGAGATTTTTGGTGTGTAGCAAAGGCCCTTGCAAGACTTCCTGTCTGCTTCCGCACATGGGATGGATCCATGTCGTAGAAGACAGGTAAAACGACATAGTCAGGTGAGGTCCTCTTGCGTTCAAGGATCATCACAAGCTCGTCAAGGCACCATCTGGACGACGTGTAGTCTTTCGAAAACACAATAACAGAAGTTCTTGAGTGTTTGATTGCTTTCTGGAGTTCGGGCTTAATATCTTCTCCTCTCTCCAGCTCATCGTCGTCTCGGAAAGTGCGAAATCCGGCATTGACCAAGGCTGTGAAGAGGTGGTCAGTGAAAGTCTTGCGAGTGTCTTCACCTCTGAAACTGAGGAACACGTGATGACAACATCGAGAAGTATTAGAAGAGGAGGTTTGTTGAGTTGCTCTCACAAGTGCCATGGATGAGGTGTGGTGAAGAAACAAACTGTCTGAATGGAAATAAATTATAAGGTCTTGGGGTTGCTACTTCCTTCCTGAATTGGGTAAACAAGCGCATCCATTGACTTAAAAAGCAATTATTTTGAGTCAAGCATATGAAATCATTATGTGTGTTTTTTTTTACTTTCTTTAAGATAAAAAAAAGGAGAAAAAAACAAAAGCAATCCAACTAGTGGGAGCCCCTTTAACATAAAAGGACAATTCGATCTTGCTGGAATTTTATGCTCCAATAAACTATTCAAAGGGAAATCAATCATGGCTCATTAAGTGACACACTGTTCAAAGCAAATGAAAAGGATCATGGGGGCGATCTTCAAAGTCCTCCTTTCACTCTTAGATCGATTTGTAATGGCTTCTCTTGTTTGGGCCTTTGGTTATCTTGTTTGGGCTTTTGGCACGAAGATGATATTAAATCCATGGCCGCAGAGTCTAATGGCCCTTCCTTCCCTCCTTGGGTTTGACTTCTGATTGTCAACTATGTTGTCACTTTTTCTTTTTCTCTTCGCAATGGGCATTACTTGCTTTAATCTGTGTTTCAATATTTTTTTTGGCCGAAAGTAATGCTCTTAATATTAGGCCAAAAGATCATGTTTGAATGATTCCAACCTTAGAAATCATGAATTTTCACTTCTTCTTTTTTCTTTTTTTATAGCATCAATCTATAAAATATAGAGACTTATGTTGGTCAGAGTTTTGTTGTACTTGATTAAGCCTCTTTTTTGAATTGCATAAACGAAAACCCAAGGCCTTTTAACAAAGTCATTTTCTATCTCTTTTTGCTTGTGTTTATGGCTAGGCTCGTGGAGGACAAAAGAAAGGTTGTCTTAGACTGTGTTGCTCATGTTCTAAGTGCTAGACATCTTGGTTCATTTCTCGTATTTTTAGTTTTAAATGTAATTTTTATTGTGATTTGAATATCATGTTACAAGAATAATTGGCGAGTTGTAATTTTGTATTTCAATCATTGTATCTAATTATATTTAGTGGATATGCAATTTGAATTCTCAATTTATTTTTTATTATATTTATTTTACTATTAGCTTTAATTCGAATTTGCTACTGAGTGAGTTATCAAGCTTTGTAGAAGTGAATTGACATAAATCAACCAACTGCCCTTTGGTTAAGTTGGTGGTTGATTGATTGCAAATGAAATCAGATGCAGGATAGGGTTATACACAGCTGTCTGGTTTTTGTATCATGCGGGTGGTCAAGGAGATATGCGTTAGGGATTGTCTCTCATGGCAGAGATGGACACTATAAGGGTAGTTTCGTTTGCTTGTCAACAAGGGGGTTTCTCTTGGGTGGTGGTGGTGGAGTCTGATTCCCAAGTTGCCATTATGATGGTGAAGTGGGAGAGGGCGGTGGAGGTAGATAGTATTCTCTTCGACATCCAGGCTACAATTCAAGAATTCCAGGAAGTAATTTTTATTTTTGCACCTTGCAGTTGCAACAAAGCTACTCATGAGGTTGCAATTTTTACATGTAGAGGAGGTGGTAGTTACTATTGGGATTTTGTACCTCCAGATTGGTTGTTTAATACCTTAGTTGGAGATGCTAATGTTCGTGTTCGCCTTTAATTAAAGTATCTTTTTCTGGTTAAAAAAAGAAAAAGGAAACCATTTTTTACCCTGAGAAAATGGGGACTATAGTGTTTTTTCAACTCAAATCATGATTAATCAACAATTTTTATGTGTTTTAGTTAAATTTTAACTGAAAAATAGGAAGCATGTTGGTAAATGCTACATCATAACAATATTGGGTGTTCTTAATTTTGTACATCTCGTAATCCTTTGACTGCTATATATGAATATGCCACCTGTGTGTGTGAGGGCTGTGAGTTTTTTTAATACCCATCGTGCGACTCATTAATTAATATTTTGCTTTGTTTGGCATTTGATGTGCTTGTGAGGTTTGCTTTAATTTCCTCCTTGATATGCCATGATAATTATGTTTCTATTTACAAAAATTGTTTAATTTTATTCCTTTACTCTGGATGGGGGACACAATGTGATGCTGGTGTACAATTAATTTAACAAAAGTCAATACCAATTAATCTAATCAAAAGTATATGTGATATGGAGTTCACACGTGATTACAAGTTCGGGGTAATTTTTGGTGAACTTTTCAAAGCACAAATGAGTTTTAATGAATTTCTGAAGTTGGCCGAATTAAAAATTGACACGTGGGGCTTGTTAATGGACGATTTAAATGAGAAGCACTAGATTATAACTCCAAACACTCCAAACAACCTCTTTAAGGAATTTCGTCGAATACTTGGTGGCCACCAAGGGGCAAATTTCCACATCTCCAAGTCTTCTTTGGATCCACCAGTGCTTATAGTTGATCCTGAAGTCGATTATTCAAGTTTCTGTAACTTTGAAAATTGAGAGCTCTGTCATACCTGTTCCAGTTATTAATCAAGACCTATACTGCCAGCATTATTATTTATACAAATTTATAAATAAACCCAATCCTAGACATGTATTTATAAAAAAACCCAAGCACTATTTAAACATAGAAACACAAATAATTCTGAGATTTTCCACTATTTGGTGATATCCACGGAGACGGCCTTTTATTATCTGAAAAAGTTGCATACTAAGAAGAGGAAGATTGTGCATAATAAATATGCTTTTGCAGTTCATGAGAAGATAGTAAATTTCATGGCTTCAGATCCTGTGGCCCTTCCAAGTCCAACTAATATAGTGGAATAAGTGCTCTCTTCTTCAAAATCTTCTGAAATTAAAAGAATTTCACGGATCAGGACGAGCTCGTCAAGGCACCATGTGGACGACGCGTAGTCCTTCGAAAATACAATAACAGAAGTTCGTGAATGTTTGATTGCTTTCTGCAGTTCGGGCTTGATACCTTCTCCTCTCTCGACTTCATCGTCGTCTCGGAAAGTACGAAATTCGGCGTTCACAAGGGCCGTGTAGAGGTGGTCAGAGAAAGTCTTGCGAGTGTCTTGGCCTCTGAAACTCAGGAACACGTGATAACGACAATATCGAGAAGCATTAGAAGAGGAGGTCTGTGGATCAGCTGCTTTCACAAGAGCCATGGATATCGACGACTTGAAGTGGCCAAGAACAAACTAGCGTTTGCTGGTGTCTCTGATGAGCTGTGGAAAATTAATTAAAAGCTTCAATTGAAAGCCAAGCACATTATGATGAATTGCCTACCCATAACTCCATTGACTTGACTTGAAAAGCGATTAGGCTAACGTAGCACACAGAAACAGAGTGTTCCCTTGTTACTCTGCTTTCCTTGAGTTTTACGTTATGGGTTCCCTTGTTTGGGGCTTTGGTCTACTTTTTTGGGCTTTTGGAACCAAGACCATATTAAATTCATGGCCCCAGTAGCTGATGGTTTTGTTACATTGGGCAAAAGCATAAGATAGGCATAGAAACCAAATCAGATTGTGCCATGTTTTGAGTGATTGTAGAAGATCCATGGGTGTGCAGAGCATCTCTGTTAGTGCAAGAAGAATGGTTGTCTACATATTTATTCTCTGGAAAACATTCTTATGGAATTGTAAATTTGTGTTCTATTTTGATTTTCATGGATTAGGCATCAAAACTTTCTTCGGATTTGATGTTGAAATTTTGGTAGTTTTTAAAATGAGCTTGATGCTTCGTAACTAAAATCCACGAATGAATAGCTTGAGATTTTGGCTCTTTTCAGCACCTGTCATAAATTAATTTTATAAAATGAGAGGCTCAAAGAATCAAAAGAGAACATTGCATTGCATGATACATATTTGAAGAAGATCGATGCATTTGATGCTACAAAACGAAATAGGTCTTAGGAAGGAAAGCATTGGATATATGCAAGAACAACTGTATGCACTTCAGGTACAAAAAGTTTATCCACGGCCTGTTGACTGTCGCTTCTTTTTGTGTGAGAGAGAAGACCGGGTGATAAGAGATAGCGTGAGAAAGAAGCAAGCGGCGGTGATGATCACCTTCCAGCCACGGAGGCTGCCAGTTTTGCTGCTGCCTGTCGTGGCTGCAATTGTTTGATCATAATGTTTCTCTTCTTCTTTGTCTGACAATGAAAATGCAAAATAACATAAAATCCCAGCAAATTAGATGAAACTTAATAGTCGGAGTAAAATCAAATGAGTTAATAAACAACACACCTGTCGTATCTTCATCATCAGAGTCCCCAAGGATCTTATTAAACCAAATCGGATCAAGTGGTGGCTCATATCTTTCGGAAAGCAAGTATACTCCTGGCTGATATTGATACAAATCTCCACTCACGACACATGGATAATAAGAAGATTCTGTGGAAACAGTCTTCTCTTGAAGCTGGATGCCAAACTCCTTGACCTGAAGCCAAGGTTGCATTATTACTGAAACAACCACTTCATCGCCACCTTCTAAGTGAACCTGCTCCTCCAACTTCCAGAGGCTTAACCATATCATGTCTTCTCCTTCACTTGGAATACCGTAGCATCGTGGGCAATAGATCCACTTCAGACCCTTGCTCTTATTTCTGACTCTAGTCATTATTGGCCCAGGTGAAGGGTCATCAGGACCATTGTCACTGTCATGTTTTGTGTAGACAGCGAAGACCTTCAAGCCTCGATA